GGCCGAGTTTGGAGATGCGAGTCAGTTACTCCACCATCTGCATGAAGGTATGACCACAAGGATTACCGTGCAAAATGGACCTTGACCAAGGCGGGCAGGGAAGAAACGGACATCGCTTTGCCGAAAAATGAGTCGCTACAGGAGGAAGACGGCAGCTCCATCGTCTCCTTCGGTGATGCGCTTCTTTACGGTGGTCTGACCTTCTCCAAGGCACCTGGCGTCCCAGCACGTGTGTCAGCTACTTCGAAACTCGTCTAAGGAAGTTGAGATCATCTGGGATATCGGCGCTTCCTGGACCACTGAGATCGGAGCAGCAGGTGCATATCACCAAACTCATGGTATTTACCTGGCCGAGATTTATGGGAAGCTTGACAAAACCACGTCATGCGTCAGAGAACAGGAAGCCTGCCTTAACCTGCCGTGTACAAAGCTGAATGTGACGTGCCAACCAAGGAAGACCATCTTCGAGATAACACCCGCCCAGATCTACCTGCCACGAAGATGCACTGGTGGAACTTGCACATGACACTGGGATGAAGGCCTTCTTCTGGTCCGGCGAGTTGGACCCCTGAGTTTAACATCATGAGGCAACAGAGCCCCTTTGTGTTTACAGTGGGAGGAACTAGATCATATGCAGCTTCTCTTTCATCCGTCCTCGATTCTGCCAGCAGCTCAACGGGCATCCGAACAACTGCAATCCCGTGATTCCGACTCGAATCAAGAACCCAGGACATCCCAAAGATTTTTTTTACCAGTGAATTTGGAAGTCGTACTCAGAAATCGAAGTGCAGGCTTAAGGCTTAGCTTTTACTTCTGAAAGATCTTTGGGATTGAGCGACGCTGCACAAGCGGTCGCTTAGTGCGGTTGCAGGGTCATGTGCACATCGCTGTCCGAGACTTCATGTCACGAAAGTTGGCTCCTTTGGAGCTTGTGGGAGTTGTTTAGAGAGTTGGGTCAATCGAGACTCCGGGGCCCCCGTCCCCCCCTGCGTTGAGGCCCCTCTTTTCAGGGGTCAGCACAACATAGCCGCGGCGTAACTCTGCACAACTGAAGACAGCAGCATTGCCTAAGACTGTTTCACGTTCCCTGCAGGCTTCTTTGCGACTCGTTGTCGACAAGCATAAGCATCCACGAGTTTGTAAAAGGGTAAACAACCTTCTCAGAGTTGCTATCGAGCTTTGCCATGCTTCGTTCAACGCAGGCTTAGGCTTAGTGAACCACATCGCAACAAAGCATACAGTGAGCACTGCATCAGTCACATTCGCTTGCCAGCATTTGCATGCATTTACAATACACAGCTGGCATTTCCCTCCTGCTAGCTTTCGGACTCTCTGCTTTGAAGTTGGTCGTGCAAAACGATGGGAAACAACCGTGAGCAGGACGCCGGCGGCAGTCGGATCTGAAGTTACCCATGGAAAGACCCTTAGAAGGAAGCCCAGGAAGAGCCCAAAGCAGCTTGTCCCTGCGCCTCGCTGAGCCGAGGCTCCTCAAGTTCAATCCAGAAGACCCGTGGGACACGCACCCTGGCCTTGCCTGGCCTTGCCTGGCCTTGCCTGTGCTGCGCAGTCCGAGAAGCTCTGAGACTCGACTGCTTTCCTCGACCGGACCAAGGAATTACAAGAAGTGGAAGATGTATGTTGGCGTTGGGTATGACCCTTGTTTGACTCTGGCAGAAGTCTCTAAATTTTGTCAATGCAGGAGCCTGATCTGAATAGAAGAGACAGCAGTGGGTTGAAAATGGAGTGCCTGAGCCCAGGAGCTTGATGCCTTTGTCGGTGCCCTATCCTCTTACTCTCTGGCTAGCAACGGTTTTGGATGATTTTTGAGAACTTGCCCGTACATGTCGTGATGTTTCTTTCAAGCCAAGGTCTATACCTTCAGAGATGAGTACGAGATCACTACCAGCGATCTCAATTTTTGAGCATCCCAAAGGTGATGCTGATGCGATGTGTTTGAAGGCGCATCGTTTGTTTGAACAAATTTCCATTCCCCTTGCTTGTTCTTTCGCGCCTGCACGTTGGACCTGGTCCTCGCAGCCACGCGAACGCAGCGCGCCTGTGTGCTTGTCATTTTGGAGTGACTTCATCGACATGAGCGCCGAAGATGCATGCTTCCTTGAGGGCATGTGCTCGAGTGCGGTGTTCTTGAGGGGCGCTTCCGGGCTTTGAGCCAGTGCTTGCTGCTGAGCTGCTGCATCCAAATTTTCAAGCTCACAAATCGCGAGCGGCTCTGGGATTGGCAGGTCTTGCCCGTGGCAAGACCAGGGGCACTCCCTGCTGACAACTTACCTGCGCAGGTTGATCTTGTCGAGCTTGAATGCCTTCAGAAAATAAGAATAAGACAAACCCAATGCACATGATGTGTATTGCTTCGAACTTCGAACTCATGAAAGATTGATGTTGAATGCGCTTTCAAGCCACAATTCATGCACAACGAAGCTTGCCCGCGCGGTTGACTTGGAGTCCTTTAAAGAGGCATGTTCTTCAGTTTCGATGCATCTCGTCGGGCAGATTTCATGCAGGAGGAACATACCTTAATGTATGGGCACGTGCATATCTACCTGTCTAAGTCTATCTGTCTGTCCGCCTGTGTGTCCATCTATCTATCCTATCCTATCCTACCCTATACCCTACCCTATCCTATCCTACCCTATCCTATCCGACCCTACCGACCCTATCCTATCTAATCCGATCCTATCCCATCCTTCTATCTGAGTCTGTCTGTCCGTCTTTCTTTCTTTTTATCGATCGAGCTGGCGAGCTAGCTAGCCACCCACCTACGTGCCTGCCTGCTTCCCTGCCAGCCAGCTAGCGACGGAGCGAGAGAGCTAGCTAGCTGGCTGTTTTATCTATATTATTTGCTGTCTATGTAGACAATGTGCACATATATGTTATATGGACAATCCCAGTAGTTTGCTAGTTATGAATTATTCATTATGCCAGACCGTGCCGCACAACAGGCTATGCCGAGACGAGCTTGAGAAGTGATTCTTATCTGATGACACGACGAGTGTCTTAACCATAAACTATGCCACCTGTGCGTGGCTCAAGGTGCGTCTGTGAAGAGACAAGGTAGGGAAGTGTTGGGGTTTGGGGTTTGTTGGGTTGGGAGGTTTGATGATAGCCTCCCGAGACCCAGTTCCAAAGGAGGTTCGTTGTTTGATATGCAGGCTCAACTTGTTAACTCTCCTGACCTTCTCGCAATCTCTCAATCCTTAGATACCGAACAGGTTATGACTGCCCAAACGCTCTCACAAGCAACAGCATCCAACAGCATGACACATAGCATGGCAAACAGTTTGTTGCGGCCGCCAGGCGGCAGTCAGGATGAGGCATCCGCTGATATTCTGATTAAACAGCTGATTCAGATGAGAGTGCCAGCAAATGCTTTGGAGTCCCTGGGTGCTTCTCAAATCTCGGTAGAAGAGTATCGCGGGACCATGGACGCTCTGCAGAACGGCATTGCTTACCTGGCGGAACAAGTGCAATGGCGCACCGAAACCCTAGGAAGAGCAACGCATGCACAGTCAGAGCGATCAGAGCTGATTATGAAGGTTTTGGAGAATGTTGATCAACAGTTTCATGCAAGACAACGCTGGGAAACAGACTTCCAAGCTTCAGTACAGAGGGAGATACTTGCTTTGGCGGAAGACATGAAGCTCGTCACTTTAGAGATGCGGACTTCTTCAAGAGTCGATTTTGAACACCGCCTTGCGAGCATGGAAACTTCCCTTGAAAACATTTCTTCACAGGTGGCATACATGAGGTCTCACGAGGACCTTCATGATGAGATGGAAAAGATCAAGACCGTGATCGAGCATCAAGCCAAGGTGTGGGAACAGGCAAAAAACCTCCTGGACCAAGGCAGGGATGTGTTGCCATCCTACATCGTGGCTGCCGTAGATGAGCATAACAAATCGTTACAAGTCTTATCCAACGGTTGTGTTCGGACCGAATCCAGACAGGAGGAGGCGCAAGAGCACATCAGGAAGTTGGAAAGGCAAGTGAAGCATCAAGCGGATGAGATTACCAAGCTTCAAACAAGGCATGCCGAACAGCAATCACAAATTGAGGAGCTTAAGAGGGTCTTTCATAGAAGCATGGGCTCAAGCACAGAGATTGCTGCAGATGGTGGCGCATGCAGCGAACAGCAGCAGCAACCGCAGCAGTTTTTGTTGACACCCGAGGCCGAAAGACAGACTCCGAGTTTCGGCCAGCAGACCGCTGAAGCCGAAACTGTTGAGGATGAATGGTGGGGTACAGTAGATCGTCATGGATGGCCCCAAGGTGGATTCATGAGTGAGCCACCCGAGTTGCCAGCGAGCCTGAGCAGATCGCGTCAAGCACCGCGGATTCAACAACAAGATGTCATGCGTCCCTTCTACTCACATGCATTGGGGACGGATTTGACGAGGAATGCTAACGTAATGGGGTCGCAGACAGCGGTTCCGATCAGCAGCTCCAGCAACACGCCGATGCGGAGCACAAAAACATCTGAATACATCCAGTGTGATCCGGAGGACAGCAAGGGCATTCCCGACAACAGGTGGAAAATGCTGAAGGACCTTCCCGAGCTGAAGATTTCAGGAGCTCAGGCCTGGGAGACTGGAATTCAGTTGAGTTCGTGGAAGTCGCAGTGCATCACGATTTGCAGTGGTATAGGGGCAAAGTTTGCCACGTATTTCACTGACACCTGGAAGGAAGCAGAAAGGCTGTACAAGATTCAGTCTGAAACATTGGCTATCCCTCAAGCACCTGATGTTAGAAGCGAAGACATAGATCTTGAGGCGAGGCTGACTTCGGCAATGCTTAGAGTGCTGCCGGATTTGGTCAAAGTGCCAGTGGTAGAGCGCGCTGGAGATGGACTCATTTCATCTGTGATGTTGTTTGTCAGTGTGCTTTCGAGACTACAACCAGCAGGTCCCGAAGAATCCCAGACATTGCTTAACTTCCTTCGAAATCCTCCCATAGCTAGCACCGTTGCAGACGTAGAGTCGACGATGAGACGGTATAGATTGGCGCAGCGGAGGTTGATGCAACTTGGACTTCCCGACATCGCCCCTGGTGAGCAGTTGAGGGGTATCTCTAACATGATTAAAAGCATTGAGAAGAAGTACCCTGCGTTTTCCATGAGGATTAACCTTCTAAAGCTGTTTCCCGAGACTTCTTCGCGTCCCACGTCGGATGGAATCGAGAAATACCTGACAACCATCGAGGCTCAGATCACCGAGCTTAGTGCCGATGAGTCTTGCAGGAGTTTCAAGCAGGACTTTGGAAATGCATCAGTGATTTCCACGGCAGCTGCAGATAAGGATACAAGTAAGTGTTACTTTCACGCGAAGCCTGGAGGTTGTAAGAGGGATAACTGTCCATTCAAGCATGAGGGGCCATCGGGAGGGGATGCCGGGAAAGGCAAGGGTAAAGGAGGTAAGGATGGGAAAGACGCTGGCAAGGGAGCTAAGGGAGGCAAGGAAGGAAAAGGAGGAAAAGGAGGCAAGGGAAAGGATTCCCATGCCAATGCGGCGAATGCGATCCTTAATCCCAATCCCAAGGCTAACCCGAAAGCCAGTCCCAAAGCTGACCCGAAAGCCAACGCTAAAGCAAGCGCTAAGCAGTTGCTCGGAGTTGATAAGAACCAGCAAAGCGAGGCTGCCCCCAGTGCGAAGGCCTCATCCGTCAGAATTTTCAGGGCGCAAGTAGATCCAGTCGCTGCATTTCCATGTGAACATAAGGATTTCATGCGCAGTTGCATTGATGACGCACATGTTATCAAAGACAGGCTCACATCAGGAGGAGACGATCAATCAGTCGTGGTGGCTAAGGCAACGACTCATCTTCCGAAAGGCAGTGTTGGTCCTCCAGATCGGGTTCTGCTGGATAGTGGGGCGAACGAGCTCTGTAGGCCTCTGACTGCAGATATCGATGTGGAAGATACGACCAAGTATATGCCATTGGGTGTCACGCTGGCTAGTGGTCAAACAACTCAGGGCTACAGAACTCGAAAGGATGGTGAGATCTTGATGCCCATGGGGTCTACGGAGTGGATCTGTGGTCTAGCGAAGCTGGCACAGGCAGGTTTCCGGTTCACCTGGGATTGGGAAGGGCCATCTTTGGAGACACGGTGTGGACGAAGCATACCAATCTACTTGGACAATGGCTTGCCTTTTGTATCATGGGAGAATTTCCGCGAGATCAGATCAGCCATTTCCAAAGATCACCGTGCCAGGGTGAACAAAGCCGTAGTTGCCGGCAGCGAAGAGAAACCTCGTGAGGAGGAGACATCCAACCTAGTCATCCTTGAGGAAGGTGAACATATGCAGATAGAAGGGAACGGGCACGAGGACAGGGATCAGATTGCAATCGCAAAAGAGGGTTATCAGGGCCATGAGGCGCTACAGTCAACTGAGGATCTAGCAACAAAGCTGCTGGAAAAGGACCGCCTGAAGCCTGACGACGTACTTAAGCTTTTGCAAGCTGCGCCCCTCAAGCGTCGACTTCGGAGGCGAAGATGTGAAGGTCAGCAAGATGAACGCGTAGCGGTTTGGAATTTTGGGTTTTGGAGGCATGGAGGTGTAAGTGGATTATGCCGACTCAGCATCGACATGCCTCAGACCACGAGGGTACTCAACAAGTTTGTGCAACAGCTGGATCCAAATCACACGTATGCAACAATTACCATCACTGAGAATACGGTGTTCAAGCCGCATCGCGACAAGTTCAACGATCCAGATACACAGAACCTCTGTTATGGCCTATCGAGGTATAGTGGAGGTGAAATCTGGGTATGCGACGAAGCAATGGGTCCTGAGGATAAGGGGTTGACATGGCGGGTTCCACATGATGGACAGCCAGCCAAGCCAGGACGTCTGCTGTCTACGTGTCGAAAGATTGCCAAGTTTAGCCCGAGGGCTTTACATGGCACTGAGGCCTTTGATGGCACGCGCGTGATGATCCTAGCATATACTCCAAGAGACTTGGATTCAGCCGCTCAGGAGGTGAAGGACACACTGTTGGATTGGAATTTCCGATGCAAACTGGATTCCACTGCAGCAACAGCAGCAACGGCATTGCAGCAACCGCAGCAATCACAACATTCGAATCCTGAAGTCAGCTCTTCTCTCTCTTCTCAGGGATTCAAGGGAGTGGGTCATGGAGCTAGAGGGCGTGACGTAGTTGTTAAGCCTATTGTGGTGGAGCCAGGATTGGACAAGTTCCCGTTACCGGTGGAGTGCTCAGGTCTTGATAAGGATGGTGATACCGATGAGGCGTTGAGGGAGATTTTGGAGTGGGACCCGGAAGAAGATAAAGGGGTAGGGGATCGGTTAGAGCCTGCGTCGCTGATGGATGCAGCTGTGCCGGAGACTGCTCCTGCACCCCCTGTTTCGAGTACATCTGCTACTGATCTCAGTCCGAAGGATGACTGTAAAACACCATTCATGAAGGAGTCTGAGCTGAGCTTATTGAAGCAGATGATGAAGAAGTGCAGGCGGGGGTTGTACGATCCAGACTGTTCTGATTGTCATCGGTCCAGAGGACTCCGTAGGCCATTTCGGCGATTACGCCCAGATGAAGTGGCTCGGGGAACTTTGGCGATTGATGTGTCAGGACCACACTTACAAGCAGCAAACGACGCACGGTACGCGCTGATCACAACGCTTACATTGGAATCCGGTGAAAGTTTACCTTTCGTAGAGCACCTCCGGAATCGCAAGCATCAGAACATCCTTCGAGCTACACTTCGAGTATTGGCTAGAATCACTTCTATGACGGGTGGAAAGCCGAGTGTATTCAGGATTCACTCTGATAACGCATTAGAATTCTGGGCTGAGAGGTTTGTGGAATCACTGGAAAGTTTGGGTTTATGGGTCACAAAGACCGTGCCGCATTGTCCTCAGAGCAACGGTCGCACAGAACGGATGATTCAACAGATGAAACTAGAAGCTGCGATCGCTATGTTGCATGGACGCCTCAGTCCCAAACTTTGGCCTTACGCCCTTTCAGAGGCTGCTTTCATGAGGCGAGCGAAAGTCCTGAACATACCTATTCCAAGTGGAGCCCCACGTCCAGGAGACCATGTGCTCATCAAGAGGGAAAAGCCGGAAGCATTTGGTGACCGGACTATTCCGGCCATTTATCTATCGCAGGATGACTCAACACCAGGTGGAGCTTGGGTCATGCACCAAGACGCGGACAAACCAGTCATCACTAGGGCACGGCTACCTCTTTTGGACGACAAGCCGAGGGCACGATGGAAACGTACCATCACGCCTGGGGGTGAATCTGTTTGGACCTCAACAGTCGGGGAAGTGGTGTTCGCTGACCTGCCACCAGATGATCGCGATGGGGATGCCAACATTCTGACTCTGGAAGAGCGGTTGGAGGGACCGCCGGATGCGGAAAGAAATCTTCAGAGGGCTCTGTTGATGAAAAGCCTTTATGTAGGAACGCAGCGCGAGCTATCTGAAGAGGACCAAGTTGGAGAATTTGTGCGGTTTGCTCATGGCTTCCTTCCAAACATGATGGATGCAGCGGATGATGACGATGGAAGCCGTCATCCTGCCGATATGCCGGCTGAGGAGCCAAGTGAGCCGCTTCCCACGTCGCATGACAGAGATTCTGAAGAGGTGGTGGTGATTGATTCTGTCCGGGCAAGCGTCACTCAAGTAGCTTCTGAAGTACCTGATGGGTCTAAGGGTGACAAGTATTATGTGCTAACGGCCAAGCAAGAAGAACAAATCTTGGAATGTGAAGCCGAGCTTCTTGAAGCAAGTCATGAGCAGGCTACCGCGGAGCCTGTTAGTACATCTGTGCTATTCCAAGAAGACGAAAAAGAGCGAAGTAAGTGGATTAGCGGTTTGGAAAACGAGCTGCGCAACATGGACGAAAAGCAGGTCTATACGAAGGTCAAACGTAAAGATATACGAAAGACTCTCGGCCTCGAGGACCATGAAGATCTACCACAGGTTCTGCCAGCCAAGCTTGTCATGACGCGCAAGCCCAACAGCACGGGAGATTCATCATGCAAAGACGGTGCAAGGGCAGCTGCGGATCAGGCTAAGGATGATTGGCTAGCGAAAGTTCGAATGGTGGTATGCGGGAATTATGAAGATGGTACATCTGGTAGTGCCCCCGATAATTCATCCACCAACCTGGCCATAGAATCACTTCGAGCCCTGTTCAGCAGAGCCGCGAGAGAAGCCACGTGGTTGGCAGGAGCCCTGGACATATCTTGTGCTTTTCTCAACGCTTGGCTGCAGGAACGACACAAAGTGCTAGTAAAGCCGCCCGCTGCAGCAGTCAAAACCGGACATTTCCATGAAGACGAACTTCTTTGGCTACATCGTGCTCTCTATGGACTCCGTAGGTCCCCGAAGGAATGGCAGCATGAGCGTGACACAGTTCTGCAGGATGCGGTATTGAGAGCTCGTGCGGGTGACATGTTTGGAGATGTCACCGTCAAAGGATTGGGTGAGCCTGGAGTTTTCGGGTTGTATGATAGCGAAGAAAACCTTTGCGGAGTGTTAGCTCTGTATGTGGATGATTGTTTGATCCTTGCACCAAAAGAGTTATTCACACGAACTGTTTCATTCATCACGGCCACTTGGAAGTCAAAGGTCCAAGGAATCCTGGCTAGGGGAGATCTAAAATCTGGCATGGAGGTTGATGGGGTACGAGTGGTTGATGAACTCACATTCTTGGGTTCGCAGCTGCGGATGTCAGATGAAGGTATTCACATAACACAACAGCGATGGATCGCCCAGGAACTCAAAAAGAGGGGCTTTCTTCATCTTTCAGGTTGTGACTCCTTGCCAGAACCGCGTGAAGGAAAGCTTCCCAGCATGCCTCTTGGGGAGAAGCGCGACAAACTCATCAAGCAGGGGCAGATGGAACTTGGAAGTCTGCTCTGGCTGACGGTGAGAACGAGGCCAGAATTGGCTGCGGTATGCGGTGTAGCTGCCTGTGCCTTGACGGTAGACCCTGGTGAGACGCTGCGCTTGACGAAGGGAGTCTGGCGCTTCATCCGGAAAACTTGGGATCAAGGGTTGTGCTTCAGGTGGGAGTTTGATTCCACGAAGATGGCGAACATGACCTTCTCATCAGATGCCTCTTTATCTTCGGGCGCCTCCAAGTCTCGGAGCGGATCGGTGATCATATGGGGTAACCACATCCTGGGATGGAAATCTGCTCGTCAAAATCTCACGGCTTTCTCAGCACAGGAAGCCGAGCTTGAAGGCATGGCTCAGACCTTGGCTTTGGGCCTTCGCGTGAGTAGGTTGGTAGAACGCTTGGCGCAGAGGTCGGTTTGCAAAGTCATGGAATGTGATAATGCAGCTGCCCTGGTCGCTTGCACAAAAGAGGACTTCCACGAAGACGAGGTTCGCACACGGCATTTCGGCATGAGAACGAGCTGGATTAGGGATCAAGCTGTGAATCATCATGTTGAGATTAGGCATCGTCCCGGTGCTGAGCTTGTCAGCGATGCGCTAACCAAGACGCTGCCCAGACAAAAGCTTCATCACTGGATGTCGGTGCTGCATGGCCGCGAATCTCTTCCGAAGTAGACACAAGTCGTGAGAATAGCTATCGGCATCGAGTGACCGATGATCTCACGGCGTAGTTTTGATGAGGCTGGAACAGCGACGCAAGGATCTTTGGAAATCTCAGGTCCATGACGTTTTTCGCATATCCAGTCACTCAGACAGTTTAGCTTAGCAGTGTAGCTTACGGCCCATGGAAAGTCCACTGATTAGTACGGGGGCCAATGTGATAATGACTTGTCGGTCGGGGCATCAACTTTTGTGAAGCGGCGAAGTCCGTTGTTCAACACTCTCCGCCGAGGAGGAGTGTGCCAGGTACGCATGCATGGCCCCTGCGACAAGAGTGACACGACGAGTGTCTTAACCATAAACTATGCCACCTGTGCGTGGCTCAAGGTGCGTCTGTGAAGAGACAAGGTAGGGAAGTGTTGGGGTTTGGGGTTTGTTGGGTTGGGAGGTTTGATGATAGCCTCCCGAGACCCAGTTCCAAAGGAGGTTCGTTGTTTGATATGCAGGCTCAACTTGTTAACTCTCCTGACCTTCTCGCAATCTCTCAATCCTTAGATACCGAACATATTATATGTATGAGCATTTCTTGTTACACACACACACACCTTTGTTTATATATATATATATATATTAAGGGCTACGCCGCTGCCGCCGACCCTGCACGGATTCGTGGGACATCATTGGGGGCCCTGGCAGGTAAGAGCGAGCATGTGAATATGGTCCGCGCTGCTCTAGCTTCTCAAGTAGGGTCAGGGTTTGTGCATGGCCCTTGCCTCTTTCGTCCAGGTTCTGCGGTTGACAAGAGCCGCGGTCAGCTCCAATTTTTGGGGCTTAAGCTGCCCGTTCTACTGCACCACTCCTTCCATAGAGTGGGATTGATATCTGGCTTCGTGCTAGGGGCCTGGGCCTGGTATACTTCCTATATTCGAGGACCTCCAGTGCAGCTCTCTACAGCCGAAGCTCGGCCAGAGGTACGTCCTCAGGTTCTCCGTGTGAGCAGCCGCCTCCGCGGCTACGTGCATGAGTGAGGAGAACAGTTGGGATCTTAGTCTGCAGATTGAAAGGTTGTCCCGTAGGCTTCGGGGTCTCAGGCTAGGTGCCAGCTCCTCCTTTTCCTTTGTCAGTGCTCCTGACAGCTCCCGTGTGCATCCGGCCCAGGTTCTGGAGGTTGGACTTGGCTGCCGGCCCTAACCCCTTGTCGGCTGCTTCACTGCTTCGGAGCGTCCTTCCTCCTCCAGTGCCAATCCGCCTTATCCTTCTTCCGCAGTACACACCGTGCTTGAGTACCCCTTGCCTGGCTCGGTCTCCTCCCAGCTCCTGCGCTTGAGGCAGGAAGTTGCCTTGTCATTTCCTCCCTTGCCGGACTACTGCATTGGTTTGTGCAGATCCCTGTCTCAGGGTGAGCTCTCTCCTCCGTGCTGAACGAGCGTGTTTGGCAGGCTGCTGGGCTAAGGCAGTCCTTGACGGTTGAGTGTCCAAACCGGATCCTACAGGACCAGTGGGCCTTCAATCGAGGTACCACTGCATCCTTCGGGCTAAAGGCCTTAGCTCACCGTGTGTGGTATCCTGCCTGGGCACATTTCGCAGGATCATCGGCCTGCAGCTGAGCACTTCCGTGTTCAAGGGTTTCCCGTCAACTTCTGAGTGTCGTGGTTTCTTCGCGGCGGCTGGTCTTGCCTATCCCTTGAACCTTACTACGTAGGCGGTTTCTCCCAGCTCTTCGGCAGGTTATGGACTTTGCATCCCTCGTGGCTGCCGAGACAGGTACAGTGGAGGTGCTGGAACTTACTTGGCCTATTGCCCCTGACGACCAACCAGGCGACCAATGCCTCTATTATGTAGTTATGAAGCGGCCTGCTGGTTTCTTGTTGTGTGTCCCGGATGGATTCATTACTTCGGAGGAGCTGGAACAGGGTCAACAGGCTGCGGAGGCGGAAGTGATTGGCCCTTCCTTCTCGATCCAGGCAGCTGGATTTCGCCTTCCGCCCTAGATGGTCTGAGCAGTGATTGTCGCCATGGCCGAGACAATGGCCAGCCAGCAGGCCCCGGCCGATGTCTCTGTGGCCGGCCTGACTCGCTTCAAGGAAGGCGATCCTACGGTCTTCCCGCCAGCAGCGGAAGTTTTGAGGTTTGCAAAGGAACGGTTGGCAGTTGGCAGGCCGGGACGAGCTTCCCCAAGACAGGTCAGGCTACCAGACGGCGATGTCTGGAAACGACGGCAAGGCAAAGGGCAAAACTCCTCCCCGGCCAAAGCGGCCCACTGTGCAGCAAATCGCGGCTCAGCAAGCCAAGATGACGGAGCCATCACGGCTGTGGTAAGCCGCCTCGATGTACTAGCCGGCACCAAGCAGCACCCGCAAGAAGGTCCGCAGGCACAAGCACAGGAACAGATTCGGCCAAAACCCGGAGGTGCTGTCGCTCTGCTGCAACAGCCACTTGCTTCGGTCCTCCCGGCAACGCAGGCCGCTCCAAACAACTTAGCCCATTTGTTGGGACCACCGCCCACTGTGCGACAGCAGCCGGCAGCTGCTCCAATTCAGCCAGACCACGAGGAGGCTGGGGGTGTCGTCCAAAACGGCTGGCCCCGTGCCGGCAGATTCTTCTTACAGGTGCCGTGCTCGCGCAATCGCAGGCCTTGGTGTCCTTGGTGTCCCAGTTCTCGGCGGGGGCGCGGGCCCTTTATATATTGGAGGGTCAGGCGGGTCAATCTGCGTGGGTGCGTGGCTCCGTTGGCCGAGCCAAACTGCAACAGGAGCTAGCTAGCCCAAAGGACAGGCTCTTTCGCAGACTGCGTCCGCGAAAACCTGGAACGGAGGATGGACCCTACCAGGCTCCTTCCTCCCGACGGGGTCTCCTTTATGAGGTACCCGGAGAGGCACGGCAACTTTGCGCATCAGCACCTTCTTGGCCTCTATGCTTCGCCGGCGAGTTGGGGGGCAAAGGACACTTTATCGCTTCTGCTGGTGATGCTAGATCAGGTGGCGCAAGACGCATCCGACACGACCCTGGCGTGGCTTGTGACTCTGCAGGCTCCACCCCCAGCCGGACTGTTCCGAGTCCCGCCCACTGTGCCGGGGTCCTCGCTCGGACAGCGGCTAAATTCGATGTGTTCATGAAGCTCATTCGTCCAGCGCTGGGTTCCTTCTTCCAATCCGAACATGTAACAGATAGGTTTAATGATTACATTACTGGGTACATTGTTGATATGTAGAAAGTTAAATGTTTCATATGCTTTTTGGAATACATCAAGCATAAAAACTCAGGCGACATCACGGAGGTGCATGCAATGACCATCCTGAAGCGTTCCGTCTTCATCATCATTTCCAAGACCACCATCTATTGGCCTCTTCCTAGTGCAGTTCCGCAAAAGGTCCCATGCAAGACGTGGCTGTTGGACATCATCAAAGAGGAATCCAAGCATATCTTGTCCAAGTACAAGAAGTCTGGTCCTATCCCTAAAGATCATGATGCTCGCATATTGTGGGAAAAGGCATGGCTAAACGAGGCTATTCGTCAACACGAACCACACACAGAGGAGACCAATCTGAATGCGGTGCCATCTCCAACTGTTCGTGTCAAAGGTGATAGGTTGGTTTGGTCCTTGTCTTTGTCTTCGGAGCCGCCTATCAGTTTAGAAACACCATCGCCGTCACCAAAGAAAAGGGCACGAGGAAGCAGTGACAGTCCCAATGACATTCCCAATCCGGATTTCGGTTCTGAGGCTGAGCAGGATTCTATGGAGGAGGAGCTTGCGCGCCTTGTGGCGATGCAGGAGAACGGAGATGCCATGGATGTCGCGTCACATTCTAACTGAGGTCTCATCGCATGTTAGGCTTCCAGGGTGCAGCAGAATTGCCATGCAGATGGTTACTGTATTGGCTATCTAGGTTATTACTATATACTATTCTTCAAAAATACATACATGAATAAGTGTTTGCATACAGGGTGTGGCATTTCGGAAAAGCGTTTTGTCTCCAAACTTTTCACCATTGCTCACAGAACCTGCCACAGCCAAGCGAAAAGCAAAGGCGCTTGAAGATTACAATCTTGCAGGAGGATCGCACCAGTGTGTTTCAAAATTACACAATATGTTTAAAGCATTTGTCCCTAAAAAGCAGTGATCTCATCAGCCGACTGTTATCTCGATCATGGCCAAGAAGATCATGAAGGCGAAGAACCATCCTCCCTTTCCAGCACCCAAGCGTGGAAAAGCTCGTGCACTCCGTAAGCCCGCCAGCATCCTCAAGAAGCCGGCGAGCAGCACAAAAATCCCGTACGTACGTCATGGTGATCCTACGACCAAGACCCGAAATGAGCGTGTACGGTGGGGTATTTCTGTGCAGATGCTTCTCAGGAAGAAGACGCTACTTCTGATCAAGTTTCCACAGCAGGACGGCATTCTCCCCGAGATGAGGACATGTCCACATTGTGGCGAAAGGGAGTTTAACGTCTCTTCAGTACTCCGATATCAAGGGCATCTATGCGTACAGGTGCAATCGTAAGGCATGTATGCGTTTAGTGCAACCCCATAGCTTTCACCCGATCTTTGTGCAGCGCCGCAACGGTAACAGCGTCACATCGCTTGCGATTCAGGCGGCAAGTCTTTTTTGCGCGATCATCGGTTTCACCACGGTTCAGACCCATCTCATGCTCGATGTGAAAAAAAGAAAATTTCCACCATCTACGGCAACCTCGAAACCACGCGAACCAGGTATGTTTTCATGAAGGAGAAGGATGTCGTCTACGGCAAATGGAGGGATGTTGAGGCAGACGAAGTGGGTCTGGGGAGGGTGGTTGTGAGCGAGCCTGTCAACGAAAATTTGAATATTCGGTGGGAACAATGGGGTGGTTTGGTTGAGCGAGGACGCCCCTCATCTCGACAATTGTTTCGTCTCTGCCCAAGACTAACGGATCGACGTGCACCAGGTCCAGGGCCCATCAGGAAGCATGAGTGGAAACGGGAGGGGAGTGATCTTGCACACCGACGGTGCTCGTTCCTATAAGTTGAAGCTCCCGAACGTCGTACATTGTAATGTGGTATGCCAGTAAAAGAAGAAGATCGTGAACGGCAAGGTTACTTGTTGACATAAGTTATCACTCAACGCATTAAAACATATCATAAGAGG